GCAGTTATAAACATTAATAACTCATTAATAAAGACTAATAAACATCATCTGTGCAGCTATAAACATTAATAACTCATTAATAAAGACTAATAAACATCATCTGTGCAGTTATAAACATTAATAACTCATTAATAAAGACTAATAAACCATCATCTGTGCAGTGATAAACATTAATAACTCAACTCAACAGTTATACACGTTGACAATAATGATGGGTAAAAAGTCATCATTTTTGCAGTACATGTTAATAATCCATTCATAAGAAGTTAGAAACATGAATAACTCATTAATAAAGGCTAGTTACATTAATTGTGCAGTTATACGCATTATAAAGGTTATAAACATAAATTCTGCAGTTAAAAATGTTTATAAATCTGCAACAAGAAATGTCAGAGAGTCGTTTTGAACTGAACATCTCTAATAAACCTAATATGTTATTAATAAAGGCGAGTTTTCTCTTTTATCTGATTAATAAAGTGTTTGTTAATTATTTATTAATTATTAACAAACACTTTATTCATTAAAGGAGAGTCATTAAAGAGTTATTATTGAGACTGATTGAGAATTTAAAATTGTGTTGATGCCTCCACCTTGGTACTGATGATATTGATCCTTATTGGTGATGATATTAATCTTTATAGGTGATGATATTGATCCTTATTGGTGATGATATTGGTCTTTATTGGTGATGATACTGATCCTCATTGGTGATGATATTGATCTTTATAGGTGATGATATTGATCCTTAGTGCTGATGATATTAATCTTTATAGGTGATGATAATAAACTTTACAGGTGATGATACTGATCCTCATTGGTGAAGATATTGACCTTTTTTGGTGATGATATTGATCTTTATAGGTGATGATATTGATCTTTACAGGTGATGATATTGATCCTTATTGGTGATGATATTGACCTATATAGGTGATGATATTGATCCTTATTGGTGATAATATTGATCCTCATTGGTGATGATATTGATCTTTACAGGAGATGATATTTATCCTTATTGGTGATAATATTGATCTTTATAGGTGATGATATTGATCTTCATAGGTGATGATATTGATCTTAATAGGTGATGATAATAAACTTTACAGGTGATGATATTGATCCTCATTGGTGATGATATTGATCTTTATAGGTGATGATATTGATCCTTATTGGTGATGATATTGATCTCTATAGGTGATGATATTGA